TGGTTTGGGGGTGATGGAGTCTGCCCCACATGTGTCTTAGGGGGGTTAAAGGGGGTTTGGGGTGGATGGGATCTGCCCCACGTGTGTCTTGGGGGGTTGAAGGGGGTTTGGGGGTGATGGAGTCTGCCCCACATGTGTCTTAGGGGGGTTAAAGGGGGTTTGGGGGTGATGGAGTCTGCCCCACATGTGTCTTAGGGGGGTTAAAGGGGGTATGGGGTGATGGAGTCTGCCCCACATGTGTCTTAGGGGGGTTAAAGGGGGTTTGGGGGTGATGGAGTCTGCCCCACATGTGTCTTAGGGGGGTTAAAGGGGGTATGGGGTGATGGAGTCTGCCCCACATGTGTCTTAGGGGGGTTAAAGGGGGTTTGGGGTGGATGGGATCTGCCCCACATGTGTCTTGGGGGGGTTAAAGGGGGTTTGGGGGTGATGGAGTCTGCCCCACATGTGTCTTGGGGGGGTTAAAGGGGGTTTGGGGTGATGGAGTCTGCCCCACATGTGTCTTAGGGGGGTTAAAGGGGGTTTGGGGTGATGGAGTCTGCCCCACATGTGTCTTGGGGGGTTAAGGGGGGTTTGGGGGTGATGGAGTCTGCCCCACATGTGTCTTGGGGGGGTTAAAGGGGGTTTGGGGTGATGGAGTCTGCCCCACATGTGCCTTAGGGGGGTTAAAGGGGGTTTGGGGGTGATGGAGTCTGCCCCACATGTGTCTTGAAGGGGTTAAAGGGGGTTTGGGGGTGATGGAGTCTGCCCCACATGTGTCTTGGGGGGTTAAAGGGGGTTTGGGGGTGATGGAGTCTGCCCCACATGTGTCTTGGGGGGGTTAAAGGGGGTTTGGGGGTGATGGAGTCTGCCCCACATGTGTCTTAGGGGGGTTAAAGGGGGTTTGGGGGTGATGGAGTCTGCCCCACATGTGTCTTAGGGGGGTTAAAGGGGGTTTGGGGGTGATGGAGTCTGCCCCACATGTGTCTTGGGGGGGTTAAAGGGGGTTTGGGGTGATGGAGTCTGCCCCACATGTGTCTTGGGGGGGTTAAAGGGGGTTTGGGGGTGATGGAGTCTGCCCCACATGTGTCTTAGGGGGGTTAAAGGGGGTTTGGGGGTGATGGAGTCTGCCCCACATGTGTCTTAGGGGGGTTAAAGGGGGTTTGGGGGTGATGGAGTCTGCCCCACATGTGTCTTAGGGGGGTTAAAGGGGGTTTGGGGGTGATGGAGTCTGCCCCACATGTGTCTTGGGGGGGTTAAAGGGGGTTTGGGGGTGATGGAGTCTGCCCCACATGTGTCTTGGGGGGTTAAAGGGGGTTTGGGGGTGATGGAGTCTGCCCCACATGTGTCTTAGGGGGGTTAAAGGGGGTTTGGGGTGATGGAGTCTGCCCCACATGTGTCTTGGGGGGGTTAAAGGGGGTTTTGGGGTCCATCAAGCCCCCCCAGCCCCCTCCTGCCCCCCCATCACCGCTCTGCCCCCCAACTCCCCCTAATCCCACTCCGCCCCCCAAGTCCCCCCTCTCTCCACCCCCAACTCCCCCCAGCCCCACTCCATCCCCCCCATCCCCACTCCACCCCCCAAGTCCCCCCTCTCCCTCCACCCCCCATCCCCTCTCCACCCCCCGAGTCCCCCCAATCCCACTCTGCCCCCCAAGTCCCTCCTCTCCCTCCACCTCCCAACCCCCCCATCCCCTCTCTGCCCCCCAACCCCCCCATCCCACTCCACCCCCCAAGTCCCCCCTCTCCCTCCACCCCCAATCCCACTCTGCCCCCCAACTCCCCCCAGCCCCACTCCACCCCCCATCCCCACTCCACCCCCCAAGTCCCCCCTCTCCCTCCACCCCCCATCCCCTCTCTGCCCCCCAACCCCCCCATTACCTCTCCGCCCCCCAAGTCCCCCCTCTCTCCACCCCCAACTCCCCCCAGCCCCACTCCACCCCCCAAGTCCCCCTTCTCCCTCCACCCCATCCCCACTCCGCCCCCCAAGTCCCCCCTCTCCTCCACCCCCATCCCCACTCCACCCCCCAAGTCCCCCCTCTCCCTCCGCCCCCCAAGTCCCCCCATGACCCCTCCCTCCCTCCGCCCCCCAGGTTACATCCAGCGCCGGCTGATCAAGTCCATGGAGTCGGTGATGGTGAAGTACGACGCCACGGTGCGGAACTCCATCAACCAGGTGGTGCAGCTGCGCTATGGGGAGGACGGGCTGGGGGGCGAGAGCGTGGAGTTCCAGAACCTCGCCACGCTCAAGGCCTCCAACAAGGCCTTCGAGAAGAAGTAAGGGGGCAGAACGGGGGGGGGGGTGAACTTGGGGGGCAGCTGGGGTTGGGTGTGGGAGAGAACTTGGGGGGCAGCTGGGGTTGGGTGTGGGGAAGAGAACTTGGGGGGCAGCTGCGGTTGGTTGTGGGGAAGAGAACTTAGGGGGCAGCTGGGGTTGGTTGTGGGGAAGAGAACTTGGGGGGCAGCTGGGGTTGGTTATGGGGAAGAGAACTTGGGGGGCAGCTGGGGTTGGGGGGAGGGAGAAGTTGGGGGGCAGCTGGGGTTGGTTGTGGGGAAGAGAACTTGGGGGGCAGCTGGGGTTGGTTATGGGGGACAGAACTTGGGCAGCTGCGGTTGGGGGGAGGGAGAAGTTGGGGGGCAGCTGCGGTTGGTTATGGGGAAGAGAACTTGGGGGGCAGCTGCGGTTGGGGGGAAGAGAACTTAGGGGGCAGTAGGGGTTGGTTGTGGGGACAGAACTTAGTTGGCAGTAGGGGTTGGTTATGGGGAAGAGAACTTGGGGGGCAGCTGCGGTTGGTTGTGGGGGCAGAGCTTAGGGGGCAGCTGGGGTTGGTTGTGGGGACAGAACTTGGGGGGCAGCTGGGGTTGGTTGTGGGGAAGAGAAGTTGGGGGACAGCTGGGGTTGGTTATGGGGAAGAGAAGTTGGGGGGCAGCTGGGGTTGGTTATGGGGGACAGAACTTAGGGGGCAGCTGGGGTTGGTTATGGGGACAGAACTTAGGGGGCAGCTGGGGTTGGTTGTGGGGAAGAGAACTTGGGGGGCAGCTGGGGTTGGGGGGGAGAGAAGTTGGGGGGCAGCTGGGGTTGGGTGGGGGGAGAGAACTTAGGGGGCAGCTGGGTTGGTTGTGGGGAAGAGAACTTGGGGGGCAGCTGGGGTTGGTTATGGGGGACAGAACTTAGGGGGCAGCTGCGGTTGGTTATGGGGAAGAGAACTTAGGGGGCAGCTGGGGTTGGTTATGGGGAAGAGGTTATGGGGAGATGGGCTATGGGGAGGAGGTGGGGTTGAGCCGCTTCTGAGCGTGGTGGAGCTCAACTTGGTGCCCCCCAAGTTCTTGTGTCCCCCTTGGTGCCCCCCATCTTCCCTCCTGCCCCACATTGACCCCTTTCCTGCCCCACACATCCAGGTTCAGGTTTGACTGCAGCAACGAGCGGGCGATGCGGTGGATGCTGACCCCTTTCCTGCCCCACATTGACCTCTTTCCTGCCCCACATTGACCCCTTTCCTGCCCCACATTGACCTCTTTCCTGCCCCACACTGACCCCTTTCCTGCCCCACATTGACCCCTTTCCTGCCCCACACATCCAGGTTCAGGTTTGACTGCAGCAACGAGCAGGCGCTGCAACGGATGCTGACCCCTTTCCTGCCCCACATTGACCTCTTTCCTGCCCCACATTGACCTCTTTCCTGCCCCACATTGACCCTTTCCCTCCCCCCATGTTCCCCTGCCCCACATTGACCCCTTTCCTGCCCCACACATCCAGGTTCAGGTTTGACTGCAGCAACGAGCGGGCGATGCGGTGGATGCTGACCCCTTTCCTGCCCCACATTGACCTCTTTCCTGCCCCACACTGACCCCTTTCCTGCCCCACACTGACCCCTTTCCTGCCCCACATTGACCCCTTTCCTGCCCCACATTGACCTCTTTCCTGCCCCACATTGACCCCTTTCCTGCCCCACACTGAGCCCTTTCCTGCCCCACATTGACCCCTTTCCTGCCCCACACATCCAGGTTCAGGTTTGACTGCAGCAACGAGCAGGCGCTGCAACGGATGCTGACCCCTTTCCTGCCCCACATTGACCTCTTTCCTGCCCCACATTGACCTCTTTCCTGCCCCACATTGACCCCTTTCCCTCCCCCCATGTTCCCTGCCCCACATTGACCCCTTTCCTGCCCCACACATCCAGGTTCAGGTTTGACTGCAGCAACGAGCGGGCGATGCGGTGGATGCTGACCCCTTTCCTGCCCCACATTGACCTCTTTCCTGCCCCACACTGACCCCTTTCCTGCCCCACACTGACCCCTTTCCTGCCCCACATTGACCCCTTTCCTGCCCCACATTGACCTCTTTCCTGCCCCACATTGACCCCTTTCCTGCCCCACACTGAGCCCTTTCCTGCCCCACATTGACCCCTTTCCTGCCCCACACATCCAGGTTCAGGTTTGACTGCAGCAACGAGCAGGCGCTGCAACGGATGCTGACCCCTTTCCTGCCCCACATTGACCTCTTTCCTGCCCCACATTGACCTCTTTCCTGCCCCACATTGACCCCTTTCCCTCCCCCCATGTTCCCTGCCCCACATTGACCCCTTTCCTGCCCCACACATCCAGGTTCAGGTTTGACTGCAGCAACGAGCGGGTGATGCGGTGGATGCTGACCCCTTTCCTGCCCCACATTGACCCCTTTCCTGCCCCACATTGACCCCTTTCCTGCCCCACACTGACCCCTTTCTCTCCTGCCCCACACTGACCCCTTTCTCTCCCGCCCCACACTGACCCCTTTCCTGCCCCACACTGACCCCTTTCTGTCCTGCCCCACACTGACCCCTTTCTCTCCTGCCCCACACTGACCCCTTTCCTGCCCCACACTGACCCCTTTCTCTCCTGCCCCACACTGAGCCCTTTCTCTCCTGCCCCATAGATTCCGCTTTGACTGCAGCAACGAGCGGGCGCTGCGGCGGACGCTGCAGGAGGAGCTGGGACACTGACCCCTTTCCTGCCCCACACTGACCCCTTTCTCTCCTGCCCCACACTGACCCCTTTCTCTCCTGCCCCACACTGACCCCTTTCTCTCCCGCCCCACACTGACCCCTTTCTCTCCCGCCCCACACTGACCCCTTTCTCTCCCGCCCCACACTGACCCCTTTCTCTCCTGCCCCACACTGAGCCCTTTCTCTCCTGCCCCACACTGACCCCTTTCTCTCCTGCCCCACACTGACCCCTTTCTCTCCTGCCCCACACTGAGCCCTTTCCTGCCCCACACTGACCCCTTTCTCTCCTGCCCCACACTGACCCCTTTCTCTCCTGCCCCACACTGAGCCCTTTCTCTCCTGCCCCACACTGACCCCTTTCTCTCCTGCCCCACACTGACCCCTTTCCTGCCCCACACTGACCCCTTTCTCTCCTGCCCCACACTGAGCCCTTTCCCTCCTGCCCCACACTGACCCCTTTCCTGCCCCACACTGACCCCTTTCTCTCCTGCCCCACACTGACCCCTTTCTCTCCTGCCCCACACTGACCCCTTTCCTGCCCCACACTGACCCCTTTCCCTCCTGCCCCACACTGACCCCTTTCCTGCCCCACACTGACCCCTTTCCTGCCCCACACTGACCCCTTTCTCTCCTGCCCCACACTGACCCCTTTCTCTCCTGCCCCACACTGAGCCCTTTCTCTCCTGCCCCATAGATTCCGCTTTGACTGCAGCAACGAGCGGGCGCTGCGGCGGACGCTGCAGGAGGAGCTGGGACACTGACCCCTTTCCTGCCCCACACTGACCCCTTTCTCTCCTGCCCCACACTGACCCCTTTCTCTCCTGCCCCACACTGACCCCTTTCTCTCCTGCCCCACACTGACCCCTTTCTCTCCTGCCCCACACTGACCCCTTTCTGTCCTGCCCCATAGATTCCGCTTTGACTGCAGCAACGAGCGGGCGCTGCGGCGGACGCTGCAGGAGGAGCTGGGACACTGACCCCTTTCCTGCCCCACACTGACCCCTTTCTCTCCTGCCCCACACTGACCCCTTTCTCTCCTGCCCCACACTGACCCCTTTCTCTCCTGCCCCACACTGACCCCTTTCTCTCCTGCCCCACACTGACCCCTTTCTGTCCTGCCCCATAGATTCCGCTTTGACTGCAGCAACGAGCGGGCGCTGCGGCGGACGCTGCAGGAGGAGCTGGTCAAGGAGCTCCTGTCCAACGCTCACGTCCAGAACGAGCTGGAGCGGGAATTCGAGAGGATGCGGGAGGACCGCGAGGTGCTCAGGGTCATCTTCCCCACCGGGGACAGCAAGGTGGGGGAGGGGAGGGGAACCATGGGGGGGGGGATGGGCAATGGGGGGGGGATGGGATCCATGGGGTGGGGGATGGGGGATCCTCATCTTCCCCACTGGGAACAGCAAGGTGGGGGAGGGGAGGGGATCCATGGGGTGGGGGATGGGGGATCCTCATCTTCCCCACTGGGAACAGCAAGGTGGGGGAGGGGAGGGGATCCATGGGGTGGGGGATGGGGGATCCTCATCTTCCCCACCGGGGACAGCAAGGTGGGGGAGGGGAACCATGGGGTGGGGGATGGGCGATGGGGGGGATGGGGGATGGGGGGGGGATGGGGGGATCCTCACCTTCCCAACCGGGGACAGCAAGGTGGGGGAGGGGATCCATGGGGTGGGGGATGGGGGATGGGGGGGGGATGGGATCCATGGGGTGGGGGATGGGGGATCCTCATCTTCCCCACCGGGGACAGCAAGGTGGGGGATGGGGGGGCATCCATGGGGTGGGGGATGGGCAATGGGGGGGGGATGGGGGATCCTCATCTTCCCAACAGGGGACAGCAAGGTGGGGGAGGGGAGGGGAACCATGGGGGGGGGAGGGGATCCATCGGGTGGGGGATGGGATCCATGGGGGCAATGGGATCCATGGGGTGGGGGATGGGCAATGGGGGATCCTCATCTTCCCCACTGGGAACAGCAAGGTGGGGGAGGGGGTCCATGGGGTGGGGGATGGGCAATGGGGGGGGGATGGGATCCATGGGGTGGGGGATGGGCAATGGGGGGGGGGATGGGGGATCCTCATCTTCCCAACCGGGGACAGCAAGGTGGGGGATGGGAGGGCATCCATGGGGGGGGGAGGGGATCCATGGGGTGGGGGAGGGGATCTATGGGGTGGGGGATGGGATCCATGGGGTGGGGGATGGGCAATGGGGGGGGGATGGGGGATCCTCATCTTCCCCACCGGGGACAGCAAGGTGGGGGATGGGGGGGTCCATGGGGGGGGGATGGGCAATGGGGGGGGATGGGATCCATGGGGTGGGGGATGGGCAATGGGGGGATCCTCATCTTCCCCACTGGGAACAGCAAGGTGGGGGAGGGGATCCATGGGGTGGGGGAGGGGGGGGATGGGATCCATGGGGGGGGGGATGGGGGATCCTCATCTTCCCAACAGGGGACAGCAAGGTGGGGGAGGGGAACCATGGGGGGGGATGGGGGATCCATGGGGTGGGGGATGGGCAATGGGGGATCCTCATCTTCCCTACGGGGGACAGCAAGGTGGGGGAGGGGATCCATGGAGTGGGGGATGGGGGATGGGGGGGGGATGGGGGGGATGGGATCCATGGGGTGGGGGATGGGCAATGGGGTGGGGGAGGGGATCCATGGGGGGGATGGGATCCATGGGGGGGGATGGGGGATCCTCATCTTCCCCACCGGGGACAGCAAGGTGGGGGAGGGGATCCATGGGGGGGGATGGGGGGGATGGGATCCATGGGGTGGGGGATGGGCAATGGGGGATCCTCATCTTCCCACCAGGGACAGCAAGGTGGGGGAGGGCAGAAGGGGGGAACACAGGGAATGGGGGGATCCGTGGAGGAGGGGCAGGGGGGATCCATGGGGGGGGGAACCCCTTTTTTGACCTCCTAAACCCTGAGGTCCTGAGCCCCATTTTTGAGGTCCTATCCCCTATTTTGTGGGTCCTGAACCCCATTTTTGAGGTCCTGAACCCCATTTTTGAGGTCCTGAGCCCCATTTTTGAGGTCCTATCCCCTATTTTGTGGGTCCTGAACCCCATTTTTGAGGTCCTGAACCCCATTTTTGAGGTCCTGAGCCCCATTTTTGAGGTCCTATCCCCTATTTTGTGGGTCCTGAACCCCAGTTTGGAGGTCCTGAACCCCATTTTTGAGGTGCTGAGCCCCATTTTTGAGCTCCTATGCCTTACTTTGTGGGTCCTGAACCCCATTTTTGAGGTGCTGAGCCCCATTTTTGAGGTCCTATCCCCTATTTTGTGGGTCCTGAACCCCATTTTTGAGGTCCTGAGCCCCATTTTTGAGGTCCTATCCCCTATTTTGTGGGTCCTGAACCCCAGTTTGGAGGTCCTGAACCCCATTTTTGAGGTCCTATCCCCTATTTTGTGGGTCCTGAACCCCAGTTTGGAGGTCCTGAACCCCATTTTTGAGGTGCTGAGCCCCATTTTTGAGCTCCTATGCCTTACTTTGTGGGTCCTGAACCCCATTTTTGGCTCTTACACCCCATTTTTGAGGTCCTATCCCCTATTTTGGGGATCATGAACCCCGTTTTGTGGGTCCTGAACCCCATTTTTGGCTCTTACACCCCATTTTTGAGGTCCTATCCCCTATTTTGGGGATCATGAACCCCGTTTTGTGGGTCCTGAACCCCATTTTTGGCTCTTACACCCCATTTTTGAGGTCCTATCCCCTATTTTGGGGATCATGAACCCCGTTTTGTGGGTCCTGAACCCCATTTTTGGCTCTTACACCCCATTTTTGAGGTCCTATCCCCTATTTTGGGGATCATGAACCCCGTTTTGTGGGTCCTGAACCCCATTTTTGGCTCTTACACCCCATTTTTGAGGTCCTGAACCCCATTTTTGGGGTGCTGAGCCCCATTTTTGAGGTCCTATCCCCTATTTTGGGGGTGCTGAGCCCCATTTTTGAGGTCCTGAGCCCCATTTTTGAGGTCCTGAACCCCATTTTGGGGTCTCCCCCCCCAGGTCGTGCTCCCCTGTAACCTGCTCCGCATGATCTGGAACGCGCAGAAGATTTTCCACATCAACTCCCGGCTGCCCTCGGACCTGCACCCCATCAAAGTGGTGGAGGGTGAGTTGGGGGGTGCTGGGGGGCACCCCCATTGAGAGGTTGAAGGGGTAAATCTATAGTAACCCCATAGCTAACCTGTGCTAACCCCATAGTAAACCTATAGTAACCCCATAGCTAACCTGTGCTAACCCCATAGTAAACCTATAGTGACCCCATAGCTAACCTGTGCTAACCCCATAGTAAACCTATAGTGACCCCATAGCTAACCTGTGCTAACCCCATAGTAAACCTATAGTAACCCCATAGCAAACCTGTGCTAACCCCATAGTAAATCTATAGTAACCCCATAGCAAACCTGTGCTAACCCCATAGTAAACCTATAGTAACCCCATAGCTAACCTGTGCTAACCCCATAGTAAACCTATAGTAACCCCATAGTAAATCTGTGCTAACCCCATAGTAAACCTATAGTAACCCCATAGCAAACCTGTGCTAACCCCATAGTAAATCTATAGTAACCCCATAGCAAACCTGTGCTAACCCCATAGTAAATCTATAGTAACCCCATAGCTAACCTGTGCTAACCCCATAGTAAACCTATAGTAACCCCATAGCAAACCTGTGCTAACCCCATAGTAAACCTATAGTAACCCCATAGCAAACCTGTGCTAACCCCATAGCTAACCTGTGCTAACCCCATAGCAAACCTGTGCTAACCCCATAGTAAACCTATAGTAACCCCATAGCAAACCTGTGCTAACCCCATAGTAAACCTATAGTAACCCCATAGTAAATCTATAGTAACCCCATAGCAAACCTGTGCTAACCTCATAGTAAACCTATAGTAACCCCATAGCAAACCTATGCTAACCTCATAGTAAATCTATAGTAACCCCATAGCTAACCTGTGCTAACCCCATAGTAAACCTATAGTAACCCCATAGCAAACCTATAGTAACCCCATAGTAAACCAATGCTAACCTCATAGTAACCCCATAGCAAACCTGTGCTAACCCCATAGTAAACCTATAGTAACCCCATAGCAAACCTGTGCTAACCCCATAGTAAACCTATAGTAACCCCATAGCTAACCTGTGCTAACCCCTTAGTAAACCTATAGTAACCCCATAGTAAACCTGTGCTAACCCCATAGTAAACCTATAGTAACCCCATAGCAAACCTGTGCTAACCCCATAGTAAACCTATAGTAACCCCATAGCTAACCTGCTAACCCCATAGTAAATCTGTGCTAACCTCATAGTAAACCTATAGTAACCCCATAGCAAACCTGTGCTAACCCCATAGTAAATCTATAGTAACCCCATAGCAAACCTGTGCTAACCCCATAGTAAACCTATAGTAACCCCATAGCAAACCTGTGCTAACCCCATAGTAAACCTATAGTAACCCCATAGCATACCTGTGCTAACCCCATAGTAAACCTATAGTAACCCCATAGTAATCCTATAGTAACTGCATAGTAACCCCATAGTAAACATATGCTAACCTCATAGTAAACCTGTAGTAACCGCATAGTAAACCTATAGTAACTCTGTAGTAACTGCATAGTAATCCTATAGTAATAGCGTAGTATGCCCATAGCAACCCTTTAGTAACCCCATAGTAAACCTATAGTAACCCCGTAGTAAACCTATAGTAAACCTATGCTAACCTCATAGTAAACCTGTAGTAACTGCATAGAAATCCTATGCTAACCTCATAGTAAACCTATAGTAACCCCATAGTAACCCCATAGACATCCTATGCTAACCCCATAGGAAACCTATAGTAACCCTGTAGTAAGCCTATAGTAACTGCATAGTAACCCCATAGTAAGTGCATATTAATCCTATAGTAACCCCATAGTAACCCCATAGTAACTCTGTAGTAACTGCATAGTAACCCCATAGTAAGTGCATAGTATGCCCATAGTAACCCCATAACAATCCCATAGTAATAGCATAGTAACCCCATAGTAAGTGCATAGTGTGCCCATAGTAACCCCATAACAACCCCATAGTAAGTGCATAGTATGCCTATAGTAACCCCATAGTAAACCTATAGTAACTCTGTAGTAACTGCATAGTAACCCCATAGTAATAGCATAGTAACCCTATAGTAACCCCATAGTAAACCTATAGTAACTCTGTAGTAACTGCATAGTAACCCCATAGTAAGTGCATAGTATGCCCATAGTAACCCCATAACAATCCCATAGTAATAGTATAGTAACCCTATAGTAACCCCATAGTAAACCTATAGTAACCCCATAGTAAGTGCATAGTGTGCCCATAGTAACCCCATAACAACCCCATAGTAAGTGCATAGTATGCCTATAGTAACCCCATAGTAAACCTACAGTAACTGTAGTAACTGCATAGTAACCCCATAGTAAGTGCATAGTATTCCCATAGTAACCCCATAACAACCCCATAGTAATAGCATAGTAACCCTATAGTAACCCCATAGTAAACCTGTAGTAACTGCATAGTAACCCCATAGTAAGTGCATAGTATGCCCATAGTAACCCCATAACAACCCCATAGTAATAGCATAGTAACCCTATAGTACCCCCATAGTAAACCTATAGTAACTTTGTAGTAACTGCAGAGTAACCCAATAGTAAGTGCATAGTATGCCCATAGTAACCCTATAGTAACTATACTACAGTAACTATATAGTAACTATAGTAATGGGTAACTAACCCGTTAGTAATAGCATAGTAACCCTATAGTAACCCCATAGTAATAGCATAGTAACCCTATACTAACCCCATAGTAATAGCATAGTAACCCTATACTAACCCCATAGTAACCCCATAGTAAACCTGTAGTAACTGCATAGTATGCCCATAGTAACCCCATAGTAATAGCATCGTAACCCTATAGTAACCCCATAGTAAACCTATAGTAAGTCTGTAGTAACCCCATAGTAAGTGCATAGTATGCCCATAGTAAGCCCATAACAATCCCATAGTAATAGCATAGTAACCCTGTTGTAACCCTGTAGTAACTGCATAGTAACCCCATAGTAAGTGCATAGTATGCCCACAGTAACCCTATAGTAACCCCATAGTAAGGCCGTAGTAACCCCATAGTAAGGCAGTAGTAACCCCATAGTAACCCCGTAGTAGGGCCGTAGTAACCCCGTAGTAAGGCCGTAGTAACCCCATAGTAACCCCGTAGTAAGGCCATAGTAACCCCATAGTAACCCCGTAGTAAGGCCGTAGTAACCCCATAGTAACCCCGTAGTAGGGCCGTAGTAAGGCGCCCGTGTCCGGCAGGGGTGCGGGAGCTGAGCCGGCGCCTGGTGATCGTGAACGGCGAGGACCCGCTGAGCCGGCAGGCGCAGCACAACGCCACGCTGCTCTTCAACATCCACCTGCGCTCCACGCTCTGCGCCCGCCGCATGGCCGACGAGTTCCGCCTCAGCGGGGAGGCCTTCGACTGGCTCCTGGGGGAGATCGAGTCCAAGTTCAACCAGGCCATCGTGAGTGGGGGGGGTTGGGGGGTACATATGGGGTCTAGAAGTAAGATATAGCTGTCTAAAGCATAGGTATGGGGGGCTAAAGGGTAGATATGGGGGTCTCAGGGGTACATATGGGGTCTAGAAGTAAGATATAGCTGTCTAAAGCATAGATATGGGGGGCTAAAGGGTAGATATGGGGGTCTCAGGGGTACGTATGGGGTCTAGAAGTAAGATATAGTTGTCTAAAGCATAGATATGGGGGGCTAAAGGGTAGATATGGGGGTCTCGGGTACATATGGGGTCTAGAAGTAAGATATAGCTGTCTAAAGCATAGATATGGGGGGCTAAAGGGTAGATATGGGGGTCTCGGGTACATATGGGGTCTAGAAGTAAGATATAGCTGTCTAAAGCATAGATATGGGGGGCTAAAGGGTAGATATGGGGGTCTCAGGGGTACGTATGGGGTCTAGAAGTAAGATATAGCTGTCTAAAGCATAGATATGGGGGGCTAAAGGGTAGATATGGGGGTCTCGGGTACATATGGGGTCTAGAAGTAAGATATAGCTGTCTAAAGCATAGATATGGGGGGCTAAAGGGTAGATATGGGGGTCTCAGGGGTACATATGGGGTCTAGAAGTAAGATATAGCTGTCTAAAGCATAGATATGGGGGGCTAAAGGGTAGATATGGGGGTCTCAGGGGTACGTATGGGGTCTAGAAGTAAGATATAGCTGTCTAAAGCATAGATATGGGGGGCTAAAGGGTAGATATGGGGGTCTCAGGGGTACGTATGGGGTCTAGAAGTAAGATATAGCTGTCTAAAGCATAGATATGGGGGGCTAAAGGGTAGATATGGGGGTCTCAGAGGTACATATGGGGGTCTAAGGGGTACATAGGGGGTCTAGAAGTAAGATACAGGAGTCTGAAGGGTAGATATGGGGGGCTGAAGGGTAGATATGGGGGGCTAAAGGGTAGATATGGGGGTCTCAGGGGTACATATGGGGGGCTAAGGGGTACATATGGGGTCTAGAAGTAAGATATAGCTGTCTAAAGCATAGATATGGGGGGCTAGAGCTGAGATATTGAAGTGTAGAGGGTAGATATGGTGGTCTAAGGGGTGCATATGGGGTCTAGAAGTAAGATACAGGTGTCTGAAGGGTAGATACGGGGGGCTAAAGGGTAGATATGGGGGTCTCAGGGGTACATATGGGGGGCTGAGGGGTACATATGGGGGTCTGAGGGGTACATAGGGGGTCTAGAAGTAAGATACAGGAGTCTGAAGGGTAGATATGGGGGGCTGAAGGGTAGATATGGGGGGCTAAAGGGTAGATATGGGGGTCTCAGGGGTACATATGGGGGGCTAAGGGGTACATATGGGGTCTAGAAGTAAGATATAGCTGTCTAAAGCATAGATATGGGGGTCTAGAGCTGAGATATTGAAGTGTAGAGGGTAGATATGGTGGTCTAAGAGGTGCATATGGGGTCTAGAAGTAAGATACAGGTGTCTGAAGGGTAGATATGGGGGGCTAAAGGGTAGATATGGGGGTCTCAGGGGTACATATGGGGGGCTAAGGGGTACATATGGGGTCTAGAAGTAAGATATAGCTGTCTAAAGCATAGATATGGGGGTCTAGAGCTGAGATATTGAAGTCTAGAGGGTAGATACGGGGGTCTAAGGGGTACGTATGGGGTCTAGAAGTAAGATACAGGTGTCTGAAGGGTAGATATGGGGGGCTAAGGGGTATGTATGGGGGGCTAAGGGGTACATATGGGGTCTAGAAGTAAGATACCGCTGTCTAGAGGGTAGATATGGGGCTCTGAAGGGTAGCTATGGGGGTCTAAGGGGTACATATAGGGGGCTGAGGGGTACATATAGGGGGCTGAGGGGTAGATATGGGGAGCTGAGGGGTAGATATGGGGGGATAAGGGGTACGTATGAGGGGCTAAGGGGTGCGTACGGGGGGGCTGAGGGGTAGATATGGGGGGCTGAGGGGTAGCTATGGGGGACTGAGCGGTAGATATGGGGGTCTAAGGGGTATGTATGGGGGGATAAGGGGTACGTATGGGGGGGTAAGGGGTACGTATGGGGGGCTGTGGGGTAGCTATGGGGGGCTGAGGGGTATGTATGGGGGGATAAGGGGTATGCATGGGGGGATAATGGGTATGTTTGGGGGCTAAGGGGTACGTATGGGGGGCTGAGGGGTACGTATGGGGGGCTGTGGGGTAGATATGGGGGTCTAAGGGGTATGTATGGGGGTATAAGGGGTACGTACGGGGGGGTAAGGGGTACGTATGGGGGGCTGAGGGGTATCTATGGGGGGCTGAGGGGTATGTATGGGGGGATAAGGGGTATGCATGGGGGGATAATGGGTATGTTTGGGGGCTAAGGGGTACGTATGGGGGGCTGTGGGGTAGATATGGGGGGCTAAGGGGTACATATGGGGGGCTAAGGGGTACCTATGGGGGGATAAGGGGTACGTATGGGGGGCTGAGGGGTAGCTATGGGGGGCTGAGGGGTAGATATGGGGGGCTAAGGGGTACGTATGGAGTCTAGAAGTAAGATACAGGTGTCTAGAGGGTAGATATGGGGTCTAAAGGGTAGATATGGGGGTCTAGAGAGTCGCTATGGGGTCTAAGGAGTAGGCTCCGCGTGTCGCCGGCATGGCCGAGCTGCCGTGCGGTGTTTGGAGGACCCCCATTGACCCCCTCCCTCCCACCCCCCCGTGTTGTGTTGGGTGTCGTGTGTGTCCCCCCCCCCCCCCCAGGCTCACCCAGGGGAGATGGTGGGTGCCCTGGCGGCGCAGTCCTTGGGCGAGCCGGCCACCCAGATGACCCTCAACACCTTCCACTACGCCGGCGTCTCGGCCAAGAACGTCACCCTCGGCGTGCCGCGCCTCAAGGAGCTCATCAACATCTCCAAGAAGCCCAAGACCCCCTCGCTCACCGTGTTCCTGCTGGGGCAGAGCGCCCGCGACGCCGAGAGAGCCAAGGTTTGGGTTGGGTTGGATTGGGTTGGGTTGGCTTGGGTTGGCTTGGGTTGGCTTGGGTTCGGTTGGGTTGGGATGGGTTGGGTTGGGTTGGATTGGGTTGGCTTGGGTTGGATTGGGTTGGCTTGGGTTGGGTTGGATTGGGTTGGGTTGGATTGGGTTGGGTTGGGTTGGATTGGGTTGGGTTGGGTTGGATTGGGTTGAGCTGGATTGGGTTGGGTTAGGTTGGGTTGGATTGGGTTGGGTTCGGTTGGGTTGGATTGGGTTGGGATGGGTTGGATTGGGTTGGATTGGGTTGGGTTGGATTGGGTTGGATTGGGTTGGGTTGGCTTGGGTTGGGTTGGGTTGGATTGGGTTGGCTTGGGTTGGGTTGGATTGCGTTGGCTTGGGTTGGGTTGGGTTGGATTGCGTTGGGTTGGGTTCGGTTGGGTTGGATTGGGTTGGGTTGGATTCGGTTGGGTTGGGATGGGTTGGGTTGGGTTGGATTGGGTTGGCTTGGGTTGGATTGGGTTGGCTTGGGTTGGGTTGGATTGGGTTGGGTTGGATTGGGTTGGATTGGGTTGGATTGGGTTGGGTTGGGTTGGATTGGGTTGAGCTGGATTGGGTTGGGTTAGGTTGGGTTGGATTGGGTTGGGTTCGGTTGGGTTGGATTGGGTTGGGATGGGTTGGATTGGGTTGGATTGGGTTGGGTTGGATTGGGTTGGATTGGGTTGGGTTGGCTTGGGTTGGGTTGGGTTGGATTGGGTTGGCTTGGGTTGGGTTGGATTGCGTTGGCTTGGGTTGGGTTGGGTTGGGTTGGATTGCGTTGGGTTGGGTTCGGTTGGGTTGGATTGGGTTGGGTTGGGATGGGTTGGATTGGGTTGGGATGGATTGGGTTGGGTTAGATTGGGTTGGGTTAGATTGGGTTGGGTTGGGATGAGTTGGGTTGGATTGGATTGGGTTGGGTTGGATTGGGTTGGGCTGGGTTGGCTTGGGTTGGGTTGGATTGGATTGGGATGGGTTGGGTTGGATTGGGTTGGGATGGGTTGGATTGGATGGGTTGGGTTGGATTGGGTTGGCTTGGGTTGGGTTGGATTGGGTTGGGATGGGTTGGATTGGGTTGGATTGGGTTGGGTTGGATTGGGTTGGATTGGGTTGGGTTGGCTTGGGTTGGCTTGGGTTGGATTGGGTTGGCTTGGGTTGGGTTGGATTGCGTTGGCTTGGGTTGGGTTGGGTTGGATTGCGTTGGGTTGGGTTCGGTTGGGTTGGATTGGGTTGGGTTGGGATGGGTTGGATTGGGTTGGGATGGATTGGGTTGGGTTAGATTGGGTTGGGTTAGATTGGGTTGGGTTGGTATGGGTTGGGTTGGATTGGATTGGGTTGGGTTGGATTGGGTTGGGCTGGGTTGGCTTGGGTTGGGTTGGATTGGGTTGGATTGGGTTGGATTGGATTGGGATGGGTTGGGTTGGATTGGGTTGGGATGGGTTGGATTGGGTTGGATTGGGTTGGATTGGATTGGGATGGGTTGGGTTGGATTGGGTTGGGATGGGTTGGATTGGATGGGTTGGGTTGGATTGGGTTGGCTTGGGTTGGGTTGGATTGGGTTGGGTTGGATTGGGTTGGGTTGGATTGGGTTGGATTGGGTTGGATTGGGTTGGGTTGGATTGGGTTGGGTTGGGTTGGGATGGGTTGGGTTGGATTGGGTTGGGTTGGATTGGGTTGGGTTGGATTGGGTTGGATTGGGTTGAGTTGGATTGGGTTGGGTTGGATTGGATTGGGTTGGGTTGGGTTGGATTGGGTTGGGTTGGATTGGGTTGGGTTGGGGGGCAGCCCCGCTGTGGGGTGGGGGGGCTACTCTTAGGCTGTGGGGTGGTTGTGTCGGTGTCCTGGGGTCAACTGTGTTGTGTTCTGTGGTGACCATCGCTGTGGTGTCCATCCCCATGGCGTCCATCCCCATGGCGTCCATCCCCATGGCGTTCACCCCCATGGTCCTGTGTCACCTCTCACATCATCCCCATCATTCCCATGTCATCCCCATCCCCTCCACCCCACATCCCCTCCACCCCACCTAACCCCCCCCCCCCCCCACTTTTCCCCCCCCCAGGACATCCTGTGCCGCCTGGAGCACACCACCCTCCGCAAGGTGACCGCCAACACCGCCATCTACTACGACCCCAACCCTCAGAGCACCGTGGTGGCCGAGGACCAGGAGTGGGTCAACGTCTACTACGAGATGCCCGACTTCGACGTGAGCCGCATCTCGCCCTGGCTCCTGCGCGTCGAGCTCGACCGCAAGCACATGACGGACAGGAAGCTCACCATGGAGCAGATCGCCGAGAAGATCAACGCGGGTGGGCCTGGGGGGAGAGCGGGGGGACACACGGGGGGTCTAAGGGGGGGGTAAAGGGGGTTTGGGGGGGTAAAGGGGGTTTGAAGGCATCTAAAGGGGGTTTGAAGGCATCTAAAGGGGGTTTGAGGGCATCTAAAGGGGGTTTGAAGGCATCTAAAGGGGGTTTGAGGGCATCTAAAGGGGGTTTGAGGGCATCTAAAGGGGGTTTGAAGGCATCTAAAGGGGGTTTGGGGAGGGTAAAGGGGGTTTGAAGGCATCTAAAGGGGGTTAGAGGGCATCTAAAGGGGGTTTGAGGGCATCTAAGGGGGGTTTGAAGGCATCTAAAGGGGGTTTGAGGGCATCTAAAGGGGGTTTGAGGGCATCTAAAGGGGGTTTGAAGGCATCTAAAGGGGGTTTGGGGAGGGTAAAGGGGGTTTGAAGGCATCTAAAAGGGGTTTGAGGGCATCTAAAGGGGGTTTGAGGGCATCTAAGGGGGGTTTGAAGGCATCTAAGGGGGGTTTGAGGGCATCTGAAGGGGGTTTGAAGGCATCTAAAGGGGGTTTGAGGGCATCTAAAAGGGGTTTGAGGGCATCAAAAAGGGGTTTGAGGGCATCTAAAAGGGGTTTGAGGGCATCTAAAGGGGGTTTGGGGGCTTCTAAAGGGGATTTGAGGGCATCTAAGGGGGGTTTGAGGGCATCTAAGGGGTTTGAGGGCATCTAAAAGGGGTTTGAGGGCATCTAAAGGGGGTTTGGGGGCTTCTAAAGGGGGTTTGAGGGCATCTAAGGGGGGTTTGGGGAGGGTAAAGGGGGTTTGAAGGCATCTAAGGGGGGTTTGAGGGCATCTAAGGGGGGTTTGAGGGTATCTAAAGGTGGTTTGGGGGAGTTTAAAGGGGAGTTGGGGGGAGTAAAGGGGGTTTGAGGGCATCTAAAAGGGGTTTGAAGGCATCTAAAAGGGGTTTGAGGGCATCTAAAGGGGGTTTGGGGGCTTCTAAAGGGGGTTTGAGGGCATCTAAGGGGGGTTTGAGGGCATCTAAGGGGTTTGAGGGCATCTAAAGGGGGTTTGGGGGCTTCTAAAGGGGGTTTGTGGGCATCTAAGGGGGGTTTGGGGAGGGTAAAGGGGGTTTGAAGGCATCTAAGGGGGGTTTGAGGGCATCTAAGGGGGGTTTGAGGGTATCTAAAGGTGGTTTGGGGGAGTTTAAAGGGGAGTTGGGGGGAGTAAAGGGGGTTTGAGGGCATCTAAAAGGGGTTTGAAGGCATCTAAAAGGGGTTTGAGGGCATCTAAAGGGGGTTTGAGGGCATCTAAAGGGAGTTTGAGGGCATCTAAAAGGGGTTTGAGGGCATCTAAAAGGGGTTTGAGGGCATCTAAAGGGGGGTTTGGGGGCACCTCTGAAGCTTTTTGTGGTCCCCAGTGCGCCTTGCGGCCCTGTGGGGGTCTTTGCCTGGTCCTGGGTGGACCCTGAGGCCCCACATCCCAAACCCCCCCACCCCTCTTTGTCCCCACGAGCAGGCTTTGGGGACGACCTCAACTGCATCTTCAACGACGACAACGCCGAGAAGCTGGTGCTGCGCATCCGCATCATGAACAGCGACGAGAACAAGATGCAGGAGGTGGGGACCCCCCCCCCCCCCCACCCATCTCCCCTTTGGGAGCACCCATGGGTGCTGCTGGGTCACCCATGTCCCCTGGGTTTGGTCCCCAGGAGGAGGAGGTGGTGGACAAGATGGACGACGACGTCTTCCTGCGCTGCATCGAGTCCAACATGCTCACCGACATGACGCTGCAGGGCATCGAGCAGATCAGCAAGGTAAGGGGGGGGCACCCATGGGTGCTGGAGCGCCTTAGGTTCTCCGTTGGGAGGTCTGTGGGTGCCAGTTGTGTCACCCCAGGAGCACCCATGGGTGCCCTGTGGGTGCTGGGGACCTTGAGGAGCACTTGGAGGTTCTCCATTGGGACCTTTAGGAGGTCTATGGGTGCCAGTTGTGTCACCCCAGTAGCACCCATGGGTGCCCTATGGGTGCTAGGGACCTTGAGGAGCACCGTAGGTTCTCCATTGGGACCTTTAGGAGGTCTATGGGTGCCAGTTGTGTCACCCCAGGAGCACCCATGGGTGCCCTATGGGTGCTAGGGACCTTGAGGAGCACCGTAGGTTCTCCATTGGGACCTTTAGGAGGTCTATGGGTGCCAGTTGTGTCACCCCAGGAGCACCCATGGGTGCCCTGTGGGTGCTGGGGACCTTGAGGAGCACTTGGAGGTTCTCCATTGGGACCTTTAGGAGGTCTATGGGTACCAATTGTGTCACCCCAGGAGCACCCATGGGTGCCCTATGGGCCTGGGGACCTTGAGGACCACTTGGAGGTTCTCCATTGGGACCTTTAGGAGGTCTATGGGTGCCAGTTGTGTCACCCCAGGAGCACCCATGGGTGCCTGGTGGGTGCTGGGGACCTTGAGGAGCACTTGGAGGTTCTCCATTGGGACCTTTAGGGAGGTCCATGGGTGCTTGTTGTGTCACCAAGTAGCACCCATGGGTGCCCTATGGGCCTGGGGACCTTGAGGACCACTTGGAGGTTCTCCATTGGGACCTTTAGAGGTCCATGGGTGCCAGTTGTGTCCCCCAGTAGCACCCATGGGTGCTGGTGGCCTCGAGGACCACTTGGATGCTCTCCATAGTCACCCATAGCATCTCATTGGTGGTACTTAGCAATCCCTGTAGAGGTCCATGGGTGCCTGGAGCACCCTGCCGGCAGCACCCATGGGTGCTGGGGGCCCTGAGGAGCACCCTAGGTTCTCCATTGGGACCTTTAGGAGATCCATGGGTGCCTGTAGTGTCCCTCAGTAGCACCCATGGGTGCTGGTGGCCTCGAGGACCACTTGGATGCTCTCCATAGTCACCCATAGCACCTCACTGGTGATACTTCGTGTTCCCTTTAGAGCTCCATGGGTGCCTGTAGCGCCCCCAAGTAGCACCCATGGGTGCTGGGGACCTTGAGGACCGCTTGGAGGTTCTCCATTGGGACCTTTAGGAAATCCATGGGTGCCTGTAGTGTCCCCCAAGTAGCACCCATGGGTGCTGGTGGCCTCGAGGACCACTTTATGTTCTCCATTGGGACCTTTAGGAGATCCATGGGTGCCAGTTGTGTCCCCAAGTAGCACCCATGGGTGCTGGTGACCTTGAGTACCACTTGGATGCTCTCCATAGTCACCCATAGCACCTCACTGGTGGTACTTCGCGATCCCTTTAGAGGTCCATGGGTGCCTGTAGCGCCCCCAAGTAGCACCCATGGGTGCTGGGGACCTTGAGGACCGCTTGTATGTTCTCCATTGGGACCTTTAGGAAATCCATGGGTGCCAGTTGTGTCCCCCAAGCAGCACCCATGGGTGCTGGTGACCTCGAGTACCACTTGGATGCTCTCCCTAATCACCCATAGCACCTCCCTGGTGGTACTTCGCGATCCATATAGACGTCCATGGGTGCCTGTAGCGCCCCCCTTGGCATCACCCATGGGTGCTTGGGACCTTGAGGACCACTTGTATGTTCTCCATTGGGACCTTTAGGAGATCCATGGGTGCCAGTTGTGTCCCCCAAGCAGCACCCATGGGTGCTGGTGACCTCAAGTACCACTTGGATGCTCTCCATAATCACCCATAGCATCTCATTGGTGGTACTTCACGTTCCCTTTAGAGGTCCATGGGTGCCTGTAGCGCCCCCCTTGGCATCACCCATGGGTGCTGTGGACCTTGAGGACCACTTGTATGTTCTCCATTGGGACCTTTAGGAGATCCATGGGTGCCAGTTGTGTCCCCCAAGCAGCACCCATGGGTGCTGGTGACCTCGAGTACCACTTGGATGCTCTCCATAATCACCCATAGCACCTCCCTGGTGGTACTTCACGTTCCCTTTAGAGGTCCATGGGTGCCTGTAGTGTCCCCCAAGCAGCACCCATGGGTGCTGGTGGCCTCGAGTACCACTTGGATGCTCTCCATAGTCACCCATAGCACCTCCCTGGTGGTACTTCGCGATCCATATAGACGTCCATGGGTGCCTGTAGCGCCCCCCTTGGCATCACCCATGGGTGCTGGTGGCCTCGAGGACCACTTGTATGTTCTCCATTGGGACCTTTAGGAGATCCATGGGTGCCAGTTGTGTCCCCAAGCAGCACCCATGGGTGCTGTGGACCTCGAGTACCACTTGGATGCTCTCCATAATCACCCATAGCATCTCATTGGTGGTACTTCGCGATCCATATAGACGTCCATGGGTGCCTGTAGTGTCCCCCAAGCAGCACCCATGGGTGCTGGTGACCTCGAGTACCACTTGGATGCTCTCCATAATCACCCATAGCACCTCCCTGGTGGTACTTCGCGATCCATATAGACGTCCATGGGTGCCTGTAGCGCCCCCCTTGGCATCACCCATGGGTGCTTGGGACCTTGAGGACCACTTGTATGTTCTCCATTGGGACCTTTAGGAGATCCATGGGTGCCAGTTGTGTCCCCCAAGCAGCACCCATGGGTGCTGGTGGCCTCGAGTACCACTTGGATGCTCTCCATAATCACCCATAGCACCTCCCTGGTGGTACTTCGCGTTCCCTTTAGAGGTCCATGGGTGCCTGTAGTGTCTCCCAAGCAGCACCCATGGGTGCTGTGGACCTCGAGTACCACTTGGATGCTCTCCATAATCACCCATAGCACCTCACTGGTGGTACTTCGCGTTCCCTTTAGAGGTCCATGGGTGCCTGTAGTGTCCCCCAAGCAGCACCCATGGGTGCTGGTGACCTCGAGGACCACTTGTATGTTCTCCATAGTCACCCATAGCATCTCATTGGTGGTACTTCGCGTTCCCTTTAGAGGTCCATGGGTGCCTGTAGCGCCCCCCTTGGCATCACCCATGGGTGCCTGTATCCTGCCCTTGGCAGCACCCATGGGTGCTGACCGCCCGCGTCCCCGCAGGTGTACATGCACCTCCCGCAGACGGACAACAAGAAGAAGATCATCATCACGGAGGACGGGGAGTTCAAGGCGCTGCAGGAGTGGATCCTGGAGACGGACGGCGTGAGCCTCATGCGGGTGCTGAGCGAGAAGGACGTGGACCCCGTGCGCACCACGTCCAACGACATCGTGGAGATCTTCACCGTGAGCGGCCCCGCGCCCCATAACCGTCGCGCACCACACATCACACACCCCATAGCCCACATCACACACCCCACATCCCATACCCCATACACCTCGTATCCCACACCCCATATCCCATATCCCACATCCCATATCCCATACCCCATACACCTCATCCCACATCCCATATCCCATACCCTATATCCCCACATCCCATATCCCATACCCCATACCCCACATACCATGTCCTATACCCCCATCCTATACCCCATATCCCATACCCCATACACCCCATACACCCTATACCCCATACCCCATATCCCATACCCCCTATCCCATACCCCATACACCCCACACCCCATACCCCACACCCCATACCCCATACAACCCATACAACCCATACCCCACACCCCACACCCCATACCCCACACCCCATACACCCTATACCCCATACCCCACACCCCGTACCCGACACCCCACACCCCACACCCCACACCCCATACCCCATGCACCCCATACACCCCATACCCCACACCCTATACCCCATACCCCACACCCCACACACCCTATACCCCATACTCCACACGCCATACTCCACACCCCATACCCCATACAACCCATACACCCCACACCCCATACACCCCATACCCCACACCCCATATACCCTACACCCCACACCCCATACACCCCACACACCCCACAGCCCCCATACACCCCCCACACCTCACCCCCCATCCCACCCCCCAGGTGCTGGGCATCGAGGCGGTGCACAAGGCCCATACACCCCATACCCCATACACGCCATACCCCATACACCCCACACCCCATACACCCTATACCCCACACACCCCACACCCCATACACCCCATACACCCCACACACCCCACACACCCCATACCCCACACACCCCATACACCCCATATGCCATACTCCATACCCCACACACCCCATACACCCCATATCCCACACTCCACACCCCATCCACCCCATATCCCACACCCCATATCCCACCCCGCAGGTGCTGGGCATCGAGGCGGTGCGCAAGGCCCTGGAGCGGGAGCTCTACCACGTCATCTCCTTCGACGGCTCCTACGTCAACTACCGGCACCTGGCGCTGCTCTGCGACACCATGACCTCGAGGGGACACCTCATGGCCATCACCCGCCACGGCGTGAACCGCCAGGACACCGGGCCCCTCATGAAGTGCTCCTTCGAGGAGACCGTGAGAGTGGGGGGGATGGGGGGTGGGGGGGGACGTGGGGGTGGTGGGGGTGGTGGGGACATGGGGGGTGGTGGGGACATGGGGGGTGATGGGGACATGGGGGTGATGGGGACATGGGGGTGATGGGGACATGGGGGGTGATGGGGACGTGGGGGTGGTGGGGGTGATGGGGACGTGGGGGGTGATGGGGACGTGGGGGTGGTGGGGACATGGGGGGTGATGGGGACGTGGGGGGTGATGGGGACGTGGGGGGTGATGGGGACGTGGGGGGTGATGGGGACGTGGGGGGTGGTGGGGACATGGGGGTGATGGGGACATGGGGGTGATGGGGACATGGGGGGTGATGGGGACGTGGGGGTGGTGGGGGTGATGGGGACGTGGGGGGTGATGGGGACGTGGGGGTGGTGGGGACATGGGGGTGATGGGGACATGGGGGTGGTGGGGACATGGGGGTGATGGGGACATGGGGGTGGTGGGGACATGGGGGTGATGGGGACATGGGGGTGATGGGGACATGGGGGTGGTGGGGACATGGGGGTGATGGGGACATGGGGGTGGTGGGGACATGGGGGTGATGGGGACATGGGGGTGATGGGGACATGGGGGTGATGGGGACATGGGGGGTGGTGGGGACATGGGGGTGATGGGGACATGGGGGTGATGGGGACATGGGGGGTGGTGGGGACATGGGGGTGATGGGGACATGGGGGTGGTGGGGACATGGGGATGGTGGGGGTGGTGGGGAGATGGAAGGTGATGGGGACATGGGGGGTGATGGGGACATGGGGGTGGTGGGGACATGGTGATGGGGACATGGGGGTGTTGGGGACTATGGGGGTGGTGGGGACATGGGGGTACGGGGGGTGGTGGGGGCTATGGGGGTGATGGTGGTGATGGGGACATGGGGGCTATGGGGTGGTGGGGACATGGGGGGTGGTGGGGGTTATGGGGGTAATGGGGACGTGGGGGTGATGGGGACATGGGGGTGATGGGGACATGGGGGTGGTGGGGGTGATGGGGGACATGGGGCTGATTGGGGCAGTGGGGGTGATGGGGGTGGTTTGACTTGCAGCCAATTTAGGGTGATTTGGGGCTGATTTGGGTCCGTTTTTGGGCTGATTTGGGTCCGTTTTTGGGGTGATTTGGTCCGTTTTGGTCCGATTTTGGTCTATTTTGGGACGATTTTGTCTGTTTGGAGGTGCTTTTGGGCTGTTTTGGGCTCATTTGGGTCCGTTTTTGGGGTGATTTTGGTCCATTTTGGTCTGTTTTGGTCTGTTTTGGGACGATTTTGTCTGTTTGGAGGTGCTTTTGGGCTGATTTGGGTCCGTTTTTGGGGTGATTTGGGTCCGTTTTGTTCCGATTTTGGTCTGTTTTGGTCCAATTTTGGTCTGTTTTGGGACGATTTTGTCTGTTTGGAGGTGCTTTTGGGCTGATTTGGGTCCGTTTTTGGGGTGATTTTGGTCCATTTTGGTCTGTTTTGGTCTGTTTTGGTCTGTTTTGGGACGATTTTTTCTGTTTGGAGGTGCTTTTGGGCTGATTTGGGTCCGTTTTTGGGCTGATTTGGGTCCGTTTTTGGGGTGATTTTGGTCCATTTTGTTCCGATTTTGGTCTGGTTTGGGACGATTTTGTCTGTTTGGAGGTGCTTTTGGGCTGATTTGGGTCCGTTTTTGGGGTGATTTTGGTCCGTTTTGGTCTGTTTTGGTCTGTTTTGGGCTGATTTTGGTCTGTTTTGGGACGATTTTGTCTGTTTGGAGGTGCTTTTGGGCTGATTTGGGTCCGTTTTTGGGGTGATTTTGGTCCATTTTGTTCCGATTTTGGTCTGGTTTGGGACGATTTTGTCTGTTTGGAGGTGCTTTTGGGCTGATTTGGGTCCGTTTTTGGGGTGATTTTGGTCCATTTTGGTCCGATTTTGGTCTGTTTTGGGACGATTTTTTCTGTTTGGAGGTGCTTTTGGGCTGATTTGGGTCCGTTTTTGGGGTGATTTTGGTCCGTTTTGGTCCGATTTCGGTCTGTTTTGGGCCGATTTTGTCTGTTTGGAGGTGCTTTTGGGCTGATTTGGGTCCGTTTTTGGGGTGATTTTGGTCCGTTTTGGTCCGATTTTGGTCTGTTTTGGTACGATTTTGTCTGTTTGGAGGTGCTTTTGGGCTGTTTTGGGCTGATTTGGGTCCGTTTTTGGGGTGATTTGGGTCCGTTTTGTTCCGATTTTGCCTGTTTTGGGCTGCTTTCGGCCTGACGTGGGGCTGCCCTTGCCCCACTGCAGGTGGACGTGCTGATGGAGGCGGCGGCGCACGGCGAGAGCGACCCCATGAAGGGGGTGTCCGAGAACATCATGCTGGGGCAGCTGGCGCCCGCCGGCACCGGGTGCTTCGACCTCCTCCTCGACGCCGAGAAGTGCAAGCACGGCATGGAGATCCCCAGCACCCTGCCCGGCATGGGCATGGGGGGGCGTGAGTTGGGGGGCAGGAAGGGCAATGGGGTGGGGAGGCGGTGGGGTGGGGTGGGGTTAGGAGGGAGATGGGACGGGGATGGGATGGAGATGGGGTGGGGATGGGATGGGGATGGGGTGGGGATGGAGATGGGATGGGGATGGGATGGAGATGGGACAGGGATGGAGATGGGGTTGCGATAGGATGGGGATGGGGTGGGGATAGAAAGGAGATGGGGTGGGGATGGGATGGGGTTAGGATGGAGATGGGATGGGGATGGGGTGCAGATGGGACGGGGATAGGATGGAAATGGGTTGGGGATGGGGTGGAGATGGGATGGGGTTAGGATGGGGATGGGGTGGGGATGGAATGGGGATGGGATGGGGTTAGGATGGAGATGGGACGGGGATAGGATGGAGATGGGGTGGGGTTAGGATGGGGATGGGGTGGGAATGGGGTGGAGATGGGATGGGGATGGGATGGAGATGGGAGAGAGATAGGGTGGAGATGGGATAGGGTTAGAATGGAGATGGGATGGGGATAGGATGGGGATGAGGTGGGAATGGGGTGGAGATGGGATGGGGCTCAGGTGGGGATGGGATGGGTTAGGATGGAGATGGGGTGGAGATGGGGTGGAGATAGGAAAGAGATGGGATGGGGATGGGGTGGAGATGGCGTGGGGACGGAATGGGGACGAGGTGGAGATGGGACAGGGATAGATGGGGATGGAGATGGCATGGAGATTGAGTGGAGATGGGATGGGATTAGGATGGAGATGGGATGGGGATGGGGATGGCATAGAGGTGGGATGGGGTAGGGATGGAGATGGGACAGGGGTAGGATGGAGATAGAATGGAGATGGGGTGGAGATGGGAGAGATGGTGCAGATGGGATGGGGTTAGGATGGAGATGGGACAGAGATAGGATGGAGATGAGGTGGGGATGGGATGGAGATAAGATTGATGTAGGACAGATACAATGGAGATAGGGCAGAGATGGGATGGGAATGGGGAGTGGATGGGATGGAGATGAGGTGGAGATGGGACAGGGATAGGATGGAGATGGGATGGGGATGGGATGGAGATGGGGAGCGGATAGGATGGAGACAGAACGGCGGTGGGGTGGGGATGGGATGGGAACGGGGATGAGGAGGGGATGGGATGGGGATGCTGGGATCCCCCCCCGCCCCCAGCCATTGGGATCCCCCTAATCCTCTCCTCCTCTTTTTCTTCCCAGCTACTGGAATGTTCTTTGGCTCGGCCCCCAGCCCCATGGGGGGCCTGTCCCCGGCCATGACACCCTGGAACCAAGGAGCTACCCCCGCCTATGGGGCCTGGTCCCCCAGTGTGGGTGAGTGACGGGGACTGGGATGCACTGGGAGGGGGCTGGGGGGGAAACTGGGGTACAATGGGATGGTTGGGGAGGGGAATGGGGTGCTGTGGGGCAGACTGGGGGGGTAAATTGGGGTAGAGTGGGGGTCAGTGGGGTGGTTGGGGGGTGATTGGGGTGCAATGGGGGGCAATGGGGTGGCTGGGGGAGGATGCACTGGGAGGGGGCTGGGGGGTAAACTGGGGTACAATGGGATGGTTGGGGAGGGGAATGGGGTAGAGTGGGGTCAATGGGGTGATTGGGGTGCTAAGGGGGGCAATGGGGTGGCTGGGGGAGGATTGCGGTGCTATGGGGCAGACTGGGGGGTAAATTGGGGTAGAGTGGGGGTCAGTGGGGTGGTTGGGGGGGATTGGGGTGCTATGGGGTGGCTTGGAGAGGATTGTGGTGCTATGGGGCAGACTGAGGGGGTAATTGGGGTAGAGTGGGGGTCAGTGGGGTGGTTGGGGGGTGATTGGGGTGCTATGGGGGGCAATGGGGTGGCTGGGGGAGGATTGCAGTGCTATGGGGCAGACTGGGGGGGTAAATTGGGGTAGAGTGGGGGTCAGTGGGGTGGTTGGGGGGGATTGCGGTGCTGTGGGGCGGACTGGGGGGGTAAATTGGGGTAGAGTGGGGGTCAGTGGGGTGGTTGGGGGGGATTGGGGTGCTATGGGGCAGACTGAGAGGGAAGAGTGGGGCTGAGTGAGGCAGATTTGGGGCCCATGGGGCAGTTTGGGGCCCTTGGGGCTATGGGGGGGGGGGCAGTTGTGGGTCCTGACCCCCTGTTTTTGCCCCCCCCCGTTTCCCCCCCTACAGGCAGTGGGATGACCCCCGGAGGCGCCGGCTTCTCCCCCAGCGCCGCCTCGGACGCCAGCGGCTTCAGCCCCGGTTACTCCCCGGCCTGGTCCCCGACCCCCGGCTCCCCCGGCTCCCCCGGGCCCTCCAGCCCCTACATCCCCTCCCCTGGTGAGTGCAGCCCCCCAGCAACACCGTGACAAGAGCCCAAGGGCACCCAAAGCACCACAAAACCACCCCGACAACACCCAAACCACACCCCCACAACACCCAGAAATCACCAAAACCACACCCTGACAACACCCAAAACTACACCCTGACAACAACCAAAACCACCCCAACAACACCCAAAACACACCAAAACGACACCCTGACAACACCCAAAACCACCCCAACACCACCCAGAACACACCAAAACTACACCCTGACAACACGCAAAACCACCCCCAGAACACACCAAAACTACACACTGCCAACACCCAAAACCACCCCCAGAACACACCAAAACTACACCCTGACAACACCCAACACCACCCAGAACACACCAAAACTACACCCTGACAACACCCCAAACCACCCCCAGAACACACCAAAACTACACCCTGACAACACCCAAAAACCACAACCCAACAAGCCCAAAATTACACCCAAACCACACCCCAACAACCACCAAACAAGCCCAAAACCACACCCCAACAACAACCAACCAAGCCCAAAATTACACCCAAACCACCTCAAAAAACACACCCGCTCAACACCCAGACCACCCCAAAACTACATCCCAGCAACACCCAAACCACCCCAAAACCTCACCCAAATCACGCCAACAACACACGCCAACACCACCCAAAACCACACCCCAGCAACACCCAAACCACTGCAGAACCACCCCATAGCCACCCCCAACACCCCGACAGCACTCCTAACCACCCCCAAAACACTGCTGCAACACCCCAAACGCAACCTTACAACACCCCGGCAACACCGCAAAGCACTGCAAACATGTTCAACACCCCAACACCACTACGGCAACACCCGGACAGACCCCAAAACCACCTCTCAACACCCCGAAACAGTGTAAACCCCCCCCCCAAGACACCCCCGACACCCGAGGACACCCCAAAGCGCTGCAACAGTCCCCCCCAAAAAGCTCTCACAACCACCCCAAAGACACCCGCAACACCCGACAACCCCCTGGCAACACCCGAACCGCTCCGAAACCACTGTAAAGCAGCCCCCACAGCACCGGTGTTGGGCCCCCCAAGAACCCCTCTGTCTTCTCTCTACAGGCGGTGCCATGTCACCCAGCTACAGCCCCACGTCCCCTGCCTACGAGCCGCGTTCACCCGGGGGCTACACCCCACAGAGCCCCAGCTACAGCCCAACTTCACCCAGCTACAGCCCCACCTCGCCCAGCTACAGCCCGACGTCGCCCAACTACAGCCCCACGTCACCGAGCTACAGCCCCACCTCGCCCAGCTACAGCCCCACGTCGCCCAGCTACAGCCCCACTTCGCCCAGCTACAGCCCGACGTCGCCCAGCTACAGCCCCACGTCGCCCAGTTACAGCCCGACGTCGCCCAGTTACAGCCCCACTTCGCCCAGCTACAGCCCCACGTCGCCGAGCTACAGCCCGACGTCGCCCAGCTACAGCCCGACGTCGCCCAGCTACAGCCCCACGTCGCCCAGCTACAGCCCGACGTCGCCCAGCTACAGCCCCACTTCGCCCAGCTACAGCCCGACGTCGCCCAGCTACAGCCCCACCAGCCCCAACTACAGCCCCACCAGCCCCAACTACACCCCGACCTCTCCCAGCTACAGCCCCACCTCGCCCAGCTACAGCCCCACCAGCCCCAACTACACCCCGACCTCGCCCAACTACAGCCCCACCTCGCCCAGCTACAGCCCCACCTCGCCCAGCTACAGCCCCACCTCGCCCAGCTACAGCCCCTCCAGCCCCCGCTACACCCCGCAGTCACCCACCTACACCCCCAGCAGCCCCAGCTACAGCCCCAGCAGCCCCAGCTACAGCCCCACCTCCCCCAAGTACACCCCGACCAGCCCCAGCTACAGCCCCAGCTCCCCCGAGTACACCCCCACCAGCCCCAAGTACAGCCCCACCAGCCCCAAGTACAGCCCCACCAGCCCCAAGTACAGCCCCACCTCGCCCACCTACAGCCCCACCACCCCCAAGTACAGCCCCACGTCCCCCACCTACAGCCCCACCAGCCCCGTCTACACCCCGACCAGCCCCAAGTACAGCCCCACCAGCCCCACCTACAGCCCCACCAGCCCCAAGTACAGCCCCACGTCCCCCACCTACAGCCCCACCAGCCCCAAGGGCTCCACCTACAGCCCCACGTCCCCCGGCTACAGCCCCACTTCCCCCACCTACAGCCTCACCAGCCCGGCCATCAGCCCCGACGACAGCGACGAGGACAACTGAGCCCGGGTGGGGGGACCCCCTCCAGGCTATGGGGCTGACCCATAAGTTGCTGTCACCAGCCCAAGCCGGGCGGTTGACATGGGGGTGGGGGACGGTGGGGTGGGGGACACTTTGGGTCGTAGGGAAGCTTCAATGGGGGGGGGAGGGGGGGTGTGAGACCCCGAAGTTGGGGGGTGACCCCCATATTGGGCTAGGGGAGGGTCCAAGGAAAGGGTCCCCATGTTGGGGTGTTGGGTGCCCCCAATGACTCCAAATGGGGGTAAGTTATGGGGGGTGTTAGGTAATGGGGGGCGTACAACACAAGGGGGGTAATTGGAGGGTTCAATGCGGGGGGTGGGGGTGCTTGGCCCCTCCCCCGCCTTTATATGGGGGTTCAATGAGGGGGAGGGGGGGAATGGGACATTTTGGGCTGGAAATAAAGGTTTTAGTGATTTTGAGCCGCGGCTCCGTTTGTGGGGGATTGAGAAAGGGGGGGGGGAGGGGGAAAAAGGGGGGACCCCCCAACACCAACCCAAACCACCCTAGAACCACACCCCGACAACACCCAAACCACCCCAAAACCACACCCTGAGGACACCCAAAAACACCCGAACAACACCTAAACCACCCCTCGACAACATCCAAACCACCCCCAAAAACCACTCCCCCACAGCACCCAAACCACCCCAAAACCACACCCCGACAACACCCAAAACACCCCAAAACCACACCCTGAGAACACCCAAACCACCCAAAAACACTATCCCAACAACACCTAAACCACCCCAAAACTACACCCCGACAACACCCAAACCACCCCAAAAATACACCCTGACAAAACCCAAACCACCCCAACAACACCAAAACCACACCCCGACAACACCCAACACACCCCAGAAACAAACCCAAACCACCCCAAAAAAACCTCCCCAACAACACCCAAACCACCCCAGAAACACACCCAAACCACCCCAAAAGCACACCCCAACAACACCTATATCCCAAGAACACCTAAACCACCCCCAAACTACACCCTGACAACACCCAAACCACCCCGAAAATACACCCTGACAAAACTCAAACCACCCCGAAACCACATCTGGACAACACCCAAACCACCCCAAAAACACACACCCCAACAATACCAAAACCACCCCAAAAGCACACCCCAACAACACCCAAAGCACCCCAAAAAACACACCCCAACAATACCAAAAGCACCCCAAAAGCACACCCCAACAACACCCAAACCACCCCAAAACCACACCCAACAACATCTGAACAACACCAAAACCACCCCAAAACTATATCCCAACAACACCCAAACCACCCCAACAAAACTCCACCCCAAAACCACACCCCGACAACACCCAAACCCCCCCCAAAAAACTTCCCAACAACACCCAAACCACCCCAAAAGCACACCCCGAAAACACCCAAAACACCCCAAAAAAACACCCCAACAACACCTGAACAACACCAAAACCGCACCCCGACAACACCCAAACCACCCCGACAACCCCCTCCCAATGATGACCCCCCATTGGCAGCGCCGGGATCCGAACCCGCGGCCCCATAGGGACTGAGCTGAACTCAGCACCAGGGGGCGCCATGGGGACGGGGAAGGAGGGGATGGGGGGGGCACAGGGACCCAATGACACCCCCAATGTCCCCGTATCCCATATCCCATAATAACCCATACCCCATACCCCATACCCCATATCCCACACCTCATACCCCATATCCCATACCCCATACCCCATATCCCATACCCCACACCCCATATCCCATACCCCACACCCCATATCCCATACCCCACACCCCACACCCCATACCCCACATCCCATACCCCATACCCCATACCCCATGCCCCATATCCCATATCCCACACCCCATACCCCACACCCCATACCCCACATCCCATACCCCATATCCCATGCCCCATACCCCATACCCATATCCCATAATAACCCCATATCCCATAATAACCCCGTACCCCATGCCCCATACCCCACACCCCGCACCCCATATCCCACACCCCGTACCCCATATCCCATACCCCATACCCCATAACCCACTTTTGGGCTCCCCCATTACCCTATGGGGGGGATCCCCATACAATGGGTGGGGGATCCCCTCTTTGGACTCCCCCATTACCCTATGGGGAGGGGATCCCCACTTTGGACACCCCCATTACGCTATGGGGAGGGGATGGGGAGCCCCACATTGACCTCCCCCATTCCCCTATAGGGTTTCCCCCCCACCCCCTTTTACCCCTTCACAACAACCCACACGTGGCCGACTTCACCCCCCACACCCCACAGGGGGCCGTGCTGGGGTCCAGCTTGGGGGGCAGGGAGCTGGGGGGTGCCCCAGATGTTGAGCTCCTGCTGTCACCCCCCACATCGAGGACAAGGCCCCCCACGACCCCCAGGGCTGGCATGAAGGGGGCTGGGAGCAGGCCTGGAGGAGAGCAAGGGGGGGGGGGGATGTGGGGTTGTGGGGGCAATGGGGGGCAATGGGGGGCAATGGGGTCAGTGGGGGTCACTGGGTGTCAATGGGGGTCAGTGGATGGCAATGGGTGGCAATGGGTGGCAGTGGGGTCAATGGGTGGCAATGGGGATCAATGGGGGTCAATGGGGGTCAATGGGTGCTAATGGGGTCAATGGGTGGCAATGGGTGGCAATGGGGTCAATGGGGATCAATGGGGGTCAATGGGTGTCAATGGGTGCTAATGGGGTCAATGGGTGGCAATGGGGATCAATAGGGGGTCAATGGGGTCAACGGGTGTTAATGGGGTCAATGGGGGTCAATGGGTGTCAATGGGGTCAACGGGTGTTAATGGGGTCAATGCAATGGGTGTCAATGGGGATCAATGGGGGTCAATAGGGTCAATGGGTGTTAATGGGGTCAATGTGTGTCAATGGGGATCAATGGGGGTCAATGTGTGTCAATGGGGATCAATGGGGTCAAGGGGTGTTAATGGGGTCAATGGGTGTTAATGGGGACAATGGGTGTCAATAGGGTTCAATGGGGGTCAATGGGTGTCAATGGGGTCAATGGGGTCAATGGGTGTCAATGGGGATCAATGGGGGTCAATAGGGTCAATGGGTGCTAATGGGGTCAATGGGGGTCAATGGGGGTCAGTGGGGTCAACGGGTGTTAATGGGGTCAATGTGTGTCAATAGGGTCAATGGGGGTCAATGGGTGTCAATGGGGTCAATGTGTGTCAATGGGGATCAATGGGGATCAAGGGGTGTTAATGGGGTCAATGTGTGTCAATAGGGATCAATGGGGGTCAGTGGGGGTCAGTGGGGTCAATGGGTGTTAATGGGGACAATGGGTGTCAATAGGGTTCAATGGGGGTCAATGGGTGTCAATGGGGTCAATGGGGTGAATGGGTGCTAATGGGGTCAATGGGGGTCAATGGGGGTCAATGGGGTCAATGTGTGTCAATAGGTATCAACGGGTGTCAATGTGTGTCAATAGGGTCAATGGTGTCAATGGGTGTCAATGGGGTCAACGGGTGTTAATGGGGTCAATGGGGGTCAATGGGTGTCAATGGGTGTCAATGGGTGTCAATGGGTGTCATGGGGGTGTCATGGCTGCCCCCATAGCCCTCACCCCCCCCATTGCAGTGCCATGGCCGCCCCCTCGTGCCCCACACCGGGACCGCAGGGCACTATTATGGGATGTGACAGCGCATCCCCTCCCCTCCCCCCCCCATGGATTAACACCCCCCCCCCCAAAGGCTCTTAAAGGGCCCGCGCTATAATTAGCAGCGGCTCAGCCTAAGCCGCTTCCCCCCCCTCCATTGACCTCAATGGAACATCCCTGTTCTCTATGGGACCCGCCCTATAGGACCCCCCTATAGGACCCCTCCTATGACCCATCCCTATGGGACCCCCCCCATGGGACCCCTCCTATGACCCATCCCTATGGGCCCCCCCCATAGGACCCCCCCATAGGACCCCTCCTATGACCCATCCCTATGGGACCCCCCCCATGGGACCCCTCCTATGACCCATCCCTATGGGACCCCCCCCATGGGACCCCTCCTATGACCCATCCCTATGGGACCCCCCCATAGGACCCCCCCATAGGACCCCTCCTATGACCCATCCCTATGGGACCCCCCCATAGGACCCCTCCTATGACCCCATCCCTATGGGACCCCCCCCATAGGACCCCCCCATAGGACCCTCCTATGACCCATCCCTATGGGACCCCCATGGGACCCCTCCTATGACCCATCCCTATGGGCCCCCCCCCATAGGACCCCCCCATAGGAACCCCTCCTATGACCCATCCCTATGGGACCCCCCCCATTTCCCCTATGGGATCCCACCCCCCCATACCACCCCCCCCCCCATTGGATCCCCCCACTTCAGGTCCCCCCACCCCATAGGAGTCCCCCCAATGGGGACCCCACTTCTATAGGACCCCCCCCCCCACCTATAGCATCCCCCCAATAGGACCCTATCCATAGGACCCCCCCAATGGGAACCCCCATTCCCCCCCATAGCACCCCCATAATGGGACCCCCCCATTGCCCCCCCAATAATGGGACCCCCATTGCCCCCCCATAGCACCCCATAATGGGACCCCCATTGCCCCCCCCATAATGGGTCCCCCCATTGGCCACCCCATAGCACCCCCATAATGGGACCCCCCCATTGCCCCCCCAATAATGGGACCCCCATTGCCCCCCCCCATAGCACCCCCATAATGGGACCCCCATTGCCCCCCCCATAATGGGTCCCCCCATTGGCCACCCCATAGCACCCCCAATAATGGGACCCCCATTCCCCCCCCCATAATGGGACCCCCCATTGGCCGCCCCATAGCACCCCCAATAATGGGACCCCCATTGCCCCCCCCCATAATGGGACCCCCCATTGGCCGCCCCATAGCACCCCCATAATGGGACCCCCCAATTGATCCCCCCCCATAGCACCCCCATAAGGGGATCATAAATGGACCGCCCCCCCCATTGCCCCCCATAATGGGACCCCCCTCATTGGCCGCCCCATAGCACCCCCATAATGGGACCCCCATTGCCCCCCCCCCCATAATGGGACCCCCCCATAGCACCCCCCCATAGCACCCCCATAATGGGACCCCCATTGCCCCCCCCCCCCCCATAATGGGGCTCCCCCCATGGATCCCAGTTGTCCCAGTTCCAAACTGGATCAAGCCCCATCCCCCCCCCCGCGTTCCCGCATGCGCGCTCCCGTCTCCTTGGTAACGGGGAACCAATGGGGACCACCCCCCCCCCACCCCCCCCCCTTTCTATGGGTCAGGATCAATGGGTGCCATCCCCTCTATGGGGCAATGGGGGGCAATGGGGGGGCAATGGGGGAGTAATGGGGGGGGTCAATGGGGGGCAATGGGGGGGCAATGGGGGGTTAGTAGGGGGACAATGGGGGAGTAATGGGGGGGGTCAATGGGGGGCAATGGGGTGGGGGCAATGGGGGGGTTAATAGGGGGACAATGGGGTAGTAATGGGGGGAATGGGGGGCAATGGGGGGCAATGGGGGTTAGTAGGGGGGCAATGGGGGCCAATGGGGGGATAATGGGGGGTCAATGGGGGTTAATAGGGGGGCAATGGGGGGGTCAATGGGGGGTTAATGGGGGAATGGGGGTGTCAATGGGGGGGGTTAATGGGGGTTATTAGGGGGCAATGGGGGGGTTAATGGGGGGCAATGGGGGGGTCAATGGGGGGCAATGGGGGATCAATGGGGGTTAATGGGGGGATCAATGGCGGGGAATGGGGGTTAATAGGGGGGCAATGGGGGTTAATAGGGGGCAATGGGGGATCAATGGGGGGTCAATGGGGGTTAATAGGGGGCAATGGGGGATCAATGGGGGGTCAATGGGGGTTAATAGGGGGCAATGGAGGATCAATGGGGGGTCAATGGGGGTTAATAGGGGGCAATGGGGGATCAATGGGGGGTCAATGGGGGTTAATAGGGGGGCAATGGGGGATCAATGGGGGGTCAATGGGGGTTAATAGGGGGCAATGGGGGATCAATGGGGGGTCAATGGGGGTTAATAGGGGGCAATGGGGGATCAATGGGGGGTCAATGGGGGTTAATAGGGGAAATGGGAGGGTCAATGGGGGTTAATGGGGGGGTCAATGGGGGTTAATGGGGCAATGGGGGAGTCAATGGGGATTAATGGGGGAATGGGGTTGTCAATGGGGGGGTTAATGGGGGTTAATGGGGGGCAATGGGGGGTCAATGAGGGGGAATGGGGGGTCAATGGGGGGGTTAATGAGGGTTATTAGGGGGGCAATGGGGGGGTTAATGGGGGGCAATGGGGGGCAATGGGGGGCAATGGGGGTTAATAGGGGGGCAATAGGGGCAATGGGAGGGCAATGGGTTAATGGGGGTTAATAGGGGACAATAGGGGGGCAATGGGGGGGTTAATGGGGGTTATTAGGGGGGCAATGGGGGGGCAATGGGGGGGTTAATGGGGGTCAATGGGGAGTTCAATGGAGGGCAATGGGGGTTAACGGGGGGCAAGGGGGGGCAATGGGGTTAATGGGGGAATGGGGGGTCAATGGGGGGGTTAATAGGGGGCAATGGGGGGTCAATGGGGGTTAATAGGGGGCAATGGGGGTTAATAGGGGGCAATGGGGGATCAATGGGGGGTCAATGGGGTTTAATAGGGGGCAATGGGGGGGTCAATGCGGGGATCAATGGGGGTTCAATGGGAGGGTCCGGACCCATTGATGCCCCCCCCTCTATGGGTCAATGAGGGAGAATCAGTGGGGTGGGGGGGTTAATGCGGAAGCTCCGCCCCCCCCGAAGCCACGCCCCTTCTTTGGCTCCACCCCCTCCTCCATTCACCCCCATTATCCCCCTGCGCGGCCCCTTTAAGACCCTCCTTTAACCCCCTCAACGCCCCTCCCCTTCCACACCATATAAGGCGGGCTCCCCCCCTCTCTATTAGCATAAAGAGGCGTGGCTCCGCCGAGGTGGGCGTGGCTCCGAGCCTATATAACCCCGCGCAGCCGCACTAGCGCCGAGTCGCGGGTTCGAATCCCGCTGCGGATCGTAAAGGGATATTAAAAGGGGGGGGGGGGTTGTGTCGCGATATCGTGTCCGCGATATCGCGCCCCTATCGCGATATGGCTCGCGAGAAGGAGAAGCGGAGCTGCGGGCAGGTATGGGCTCAATGGAAGGCGTTCATCTGGGACCCCCGTACCCGGCAGCTCCTCGGCAGGACTGGGAGCAGTTGGGGTAAGTTTGGGGGTGCTGCCCCACACTTATGGGGCGACACCATTGGGAGGCAATGGGGGGGGTCTATAGGGCTCGTCCTTTCTTATATAGGGCGCATAAAGCGAGGCCTTTCTATAGGGGTACATGGGGGGGGGGCACCCCAATAACCCACACTATGGGGGTGTCGTCGTCCCCCCATAGGGGTTTCCATCAATATAGGGGGGTTCCCCCCCCCGTTATGGGTGCGATTGAGGGGTGCAGCCCCCCCCCTCTATGGGTGCAGCGGTTGCATAGGGAGCCCCCCTTTAATGTATAGGGCAGTTGGGGGGGTGCCCCCCCCCATATAGATGCAGAGAGAGGGGGGGGTGTCTATAGGGCCCCTATAGGAGCTGTATAAAGACCCCCCTATAGGGGGGGTTACAGAGGGACCCCCCCCAATGGGTTACAATGAGGGGGGGGCCCCCCTTTTAATGCTGGGTACCCAAATGTGGGGGGGATACAGGCCCCCCCCCCCTCCCTCCCCATAGATGCAATAGGAATGGGGTACCTAAATCCCCCCCCCTCCCCATTTGGGGTGCCCATAGCCCCCCCCATAGCCCTTAATGGGAAAAGGGGTCCCAATGGGTGCAATGGGGAAAATGGGGGGGGGGGGGGGGAAGGAAATGGGTGCCCCCCCCCCCCTCCCCCTCCCCCCTCCCCCTCCCCCCATCTGTTGCCTCGTGCCTATGAAAGTAGGTCATGGCCAGGGTGGGGGATGGGGACCCCCCTATGGGGGGGGGGGGGGGTAGGACCAGATGGGACCCCCCCATTGGTTCTTGTGCCCCCCCCCCCCCAAAGGGACAGATGGTTCGGACCGGGATTTAAGTGTCTGGGCAGGGATTTGGGGGGTTTAAAGGGGTTTGGGGCGGGGGGAAGGGGGGGGGGGGAGGAGGGATGTCATTGGGGTGGCTTTGGGTCGAGTTAGGGCAGTTTTGGGTCGATTTGGGGCAGTTTTGGGTCGATTTAGGGCAGTTTTGGGGGTGTTTGAGGTCATCGGGGCAGTTTGGGGTCGATTTGGGGCAGTTTTGGGGGTGTTTGATGCTGTTGGTGCAGTTTTGGGTGGATTTAGGGTGGTTTTGGGTCAATTTAGGGCAGTTTTGGGGGTGTTTGATGCCGTCGAGGCAGTTTTGGGTGATTTAGGGCAGTTTTGGGTCGATTTAGGGCAGTTTTGGGGGTGTTTGATGCCATCGAGGCAGTTTTGGGGTGATTTAGGGCAGTTTTGGGTCGATTTAGGGCAGTTTGGGTGGATTTAGGGCAGTTTGGGTGGATTTAGGGCAGTTTTGGGGGTGGTTTGATGCCGTCGAGGCAGTTTTGGGTCGATTTAGGGCAGTTTTGAGTCGATTTAGGGCAGTTTTGGGGGGGTTTGATGCCATCGAGGCAGTTTTGGGTCGATTTAGGGCAGTTTTGGGGGTGTTTGATGCTGTCGAGGCAGTTTTGGGTCGATTTAGGGCAGTTTTGGGTCGATTTAGGGCAGTTTTGGGTCGATTTAGGGCAGTTGGGGGGGATTTAGGGTAGTTGGGGGGTGTTTGATGCCGTTGGTGCAGTTTTGGGTCGATTTCGGGTGGTTTGGGGTCGATTTCTGGCAGTTTTGGGGGTGTTTCATGCCATTAGTGCAGTTTTGGGTCGATTTAGGGCAGTTTGGGGTCGATTTAGGGCAGTTTTGGGTCAATTTAGGGCAGTTGGGGGGTGTTTGATGCCATTGGTGCAGTTTTGGGTCGATTTTGGGGCAGTTTTGGAGGGGCAGTTTTGGGTCGATTTAGGGCAGTTTTGGGTCGATTTAGGGCAGTTTTGGGGGTGTTTGATGCCGTTGGTGCAGTTTTGTGTCATTTTAGGGCAGTTTTGGGGGTGTTTGATGCCATCGGGGCAGTTTCAGGTCGATTTAGGGTGATTTTGGGGGTGTTTTACATCATTGGTGCAGTTTTGGTTCGATTTACTGTGATTTTGGGGGTGTTTGAAGTCCTCGGGGCAGTTTTGGGTGGATTTGGGCAGTTTTGGGTGGATTTGGGGCAGTTTTGGGGGTGTTTGATGTCCTCGGGGCAGTTTTGGGTGGATTTAGGGCAGTTTTGGGTCGATTTAGGGCAGTTTTGGGTGGATTTAGGGCAGTTTGGGTGGATTTAGGGCAGTTTTGGGGGGGTTTGATGCCGTCGAGGCAGTTTTGGGTCGATTTAGGGCAGTTTTGGGGGGGTTTGATGCCATCGAGGCAGTTTTGGGTCGATTTAGGGCAGTTTTGGGGGGGTTTGATGCTGTCGAGGCAGTTTTGGGGTGATTTAGGGCAGTTTGGGTGGATTTAGGGCAGTTTTGGGTCGATTTAGGGCAGTTTTGGGTGGATTTAGGGCAGTTTGGGTGGATTTAGGGCAGTTTGGGTGGATTTAGGGCAGTTTTGAGTCGATTTAGGGCAGTTTTGGGGGGGTTTGATGCCGTCGAGGCAGTTTTGGGTCGATTTAGGGCAGTTTTGGGGGGGTTTGATGCTGTCGAGGCAGTTTTGGGGTGATTTAGGGCAGTTTGGGTCGATTTAGGGCAGTTTTGGGTGGATTTAGGGCAGTTTTGGGTCGATTTATGGCAGTTGGGGGGGATTTAGGGTAGTTGGGGGTGTTTGATGCCGTTGGTGCAGTTTTGGGTCGATTTAGGGCAGTTTCGGGTCGATTTCGGGTGGTTTGGGGTCGATTTCTGGCAGTTTTGGGGGTGTTTCATGCCATTAGTGCAGTTTTGGGTCGATTTAGGGCAGTTTGGGGTCGATTTAGGGCAGTTTTGGGTCAATTTAGGGCAGTTGGGGGGTGTTTGATGCCATTGGTGCAGTTTTGGGTCGATTTGGGGCAGTTTTGGGTCGATTTAGGGCAGTTTTGGGTCGATTTAGGGCAGTTTTGGGGGTGTTTGATGCCGTTGGTGCAGTTTTGTGTCATTTTAGGGCAGTTTTGGGGGTGTTTGATGCCATCGGGGCAGTTTCAGGTCGATTTAGGGTGATTTTGGGGGTGTTTTACATCATTGGTGCAGTTTTGGTTCGATTTACTGTGATTTTGGGGGTGTTTGAAGTCCTCGGGGCAGTTTTGGGTGGATTTGGGCAGTTTTGGGTGGATTTGGGGCAGTTTTGGGGGTGTTTGATGTCCTCGGGGCAGTTTTGGGTGGATTTAGGGCAGTTTTGGGTCGATTTAGGGCAGTTTTGGGTGGATTTAGGGCAGTTTGGGTGGATTTAGGGCAGTTTTGGGGGGGTTTGATGCCGTCGAGGCAGTTTTTGGGTCGATTTAGGGCAGTTTTGGGGGGGTTTGATGCCATCGAGGCAGTTTTGGGTCGATTTAGGGCAGTTTTGGGGGGGTTTGATGCTGTCGAGGCAGTTTTGGGGTGATTTAGGGCAGTTTGGGTGGATTTAGGGCAGTTTTGGGTCGATTTAGGGCAGTTTTGGGTGGATTTAGGGCAGTTGGGGGGGATTTAGGGTAGTTGGGGGGTGTTTGATGCCGTTGGTGCAGTTTTGGGTCGATTTAGGGCAGTTTCGGGTCGATTTCGGGTGGTTTGGGGTCGATTTCTGGCAGTTTTGGGGGTGTTTCATGCCGTTAGTGCAGTTTTGGGTCGATTTAGGGCAGTTTTGGGTCAATTTAGGGCAGTTGGGGGGTGTTTGATGCCATTGGGGCAGTTTTGGGTCGATTTAGGGCAGTTTTGGGTCAATTTAGGGCAGTTGGGGGGTGTTTGATGCCATTGGTGCAGTTTTGGGTCGATTTGGGGCAGTTTTGGGTCGATTTAGGGCAGTTTTGGGGTCGTTTAGGGCAGTTTTGGGTGTGTTTGATGTCATCGGGGCAGTTTTGGGTCAATTTAGGGCAGTTTTGGGTCGATTTAGGGCAGTTTTGGGGGGGGATTTCAGCAGTTTTGGGGGTGTTTGAGGTCGAGGCAGTTTTGGGTGGATTTGGGGCAGTTTTGGGGGTGTTTGATGTCATCGGGGCAGTTTTGGGTCGATTTAGGGCGATTTTGGGGGTGTTTGAGGTCATCGGGGCAGTTTTGGGTCGATTTAGGGCGATTTTGGGGGTGTTTGAGGTCATCGGGGCAGTTTTGGGTCAATTTAGGGGAGTTTTGGGTCGTTTTAGGTCAGTTTGGGGTCGATTTAGGGCAGTTGGGGGGTGTTTGATGCCATTGGTGCAGTTTGGGGTCGATTTAGTGCAGTTTGGGGTCGATTTAGGGCAGTTTGGGTCGATTTAGGGCAGTTTGGGGGGGATTTAGGGCAGTTTGGGGGGGGATTTAGGGCTATTTTGGGGGTATCTGGTGCCATCGGGGCAGTTTTGGGTCATTTTATGGCAGTTTTGGGGGTGTTTGATGCCGTCGAGGCAGTTTTGGGTGGATTTGGGGCAGTTTTGGGGGTGTTTGAGGTCGTCAGGGCAGTTTTGGGTGGATTTAGGGCAGTTTTGGGGGTGTTTGATGCCTCGAGGCAGTTTTAGGTCAATTTAGGGAAGTTTGGGTGGATTTAGGGCACTTTGGGGGGGGGGTTGATGCCATCGGGGCAGTTTTGGGTCGATTTCTGGCAGTTTTGGGGGTGTTTGGTGTCGTTGGACCAGTTTTGGTTTGATTTAGGGCAGTTTTGGGGCCATTTGGTGCTGTTGGGGCAATTTTGGGTCGATTTACGGCACTTTTGGTGGTGTTTGATGCTGTCGGGGCAGTTTTGGGTGGATTTAGGGCAGTTTTGGGTCATTTAGGGCTATTTTTGAGTGTTTGATGTTGTTGAGACAGTTTTGGGTCGATTTTAAGCAGTTGTGGGAGGATCTAGGGCAGTTTGGGGTCGATTTGGGGCAATTTTGGGTGGATTTAAGCAGTTTTGGGTGTTTGATGTCATCGGGGCAGTTTTGGGTCAATTTAGTGCAGTTTTAGGGGTGTTTGAGGTCGTTGGGGCAGTTTTGAGTGGATTTAGGGCTATTTTGGGGTGTTTGATGTCATCGGGGCAGTTTTGGGTGGATTTAGGGCAGTTTTGGGGCTCTTTGGTGCCATTGGGGCATCTTTGGGTCGATTTAGGGCAGTTTCGGGGCTCTTTGGTGCCACTGGGGCAGTTTTGGGTCGATTTAGGGCAGTTTGGGGGCTCTTTGGTGCCATTGGGGCAGTTTTGGGTCGATTTCAGGCAGTTTTGGGGCTCTTTGGTGCCATTGGGGCACCTTTGGGTCGATTTAGGGCAGTTTTGGGGCTCTTTGGTGCCATTGGGGCATCTTTGGGTCGATTTCAGGCAGTTTCGGGGCTCTTTGGGACAGTTTTGGGTCAATTTAATGCCGTTTTGGGGCTCTTTGGTGCCATTGGGGCATCTTTGGGTCGATTTCAGGCAGTTTTGGGGCTCTTTGGTGCCATTGGGGCATCTTTGGGTCGATTTCAGGCAGTTTTGGGGCTCTTTGGGACAGTTTTGGGTCGATTTCGGGCAGTTTTGGGGCTCTTTGGGACAGTTTTGGGTTGATTTAGTGCAGTTTTGGGGCTCTTTGGTGCCATTGGGGCATCTTTGGGTCGATTTCAGGCAGTTTTGGGGCTCTTTGGGACAGTTTTGGGTCGATTTAGTGCAGTTTTGGGGCTCTTTGGTGCCATTGGGCAACTTTGTGTGGGTCTTGGCTGCCCTTGGGGCGATCGGGGGGTTTTAACCCCTTCTTTGCCCCCCCTTTAGGCCTGATCCTGCTCTTCTACCTGGTGTTCTATGGGTTCCTGGCCGGGCTCTTCGCCCTCACCATGTGGGTGATGCTCCAGAGCGTGGATCCCCACGTGCCCAAGTACCAGGACCGGCTCCTCACCCCCGGTGAGCACAAGGAGGGGCTTGGAATGGGGTTGGGGTCCCTTGTCAGTGGGTGCTTGGGTGGGTAATGGGGTCCAATGGGTGCCCTTGATGCCAATAGAGCGCGTTGAGTGCCATTGATGGCCGTAGAGCGCGATGGGTGCCATTGGCACCCATGGAACACAATGGGTGCCGTTGACACCCATAGAGGGCAATGGGTGCCATCGATGGCCGTAGAGTGCGATGGGTGCCGTTGACACCCATGGAATGCAATGGGTGCCATTGACACCCATAGAGGGCAGTGGTGCCATTGACACCCATAGAGGGCACTGGGTGCCATTGACACCCATAGAGGGCACTGGGTGCCATTGACACCCATAGAGGGCAATGGGTGCCATTGACGCCCGTAGAGCACGATGGGTGCCATTGATGCCCATAGATCTGAATGGGCACCGTTGACACCCATAGAGGGCAGTGGGTGCTATTGACGCCCATAGAGGGCAATGGGTGCCATTGATGCCCATAGAACTCAGTGGGCACCATTGACACCCATAGAGGGCAATGAGCGCTATTGATGCCCGTAGAGCACAATGGGTGCCATTGATGACCATAGAGCTCAATGGGTGCCATTGACACCCATGGAGGGCAATGGGCACTGCTGATGCCCATAGAGCTCAATGGGTGCCATTGATGCCTATGGCATGAGATGGGCACCATTGACACCCATGGAACGCAATGGGTGCCCATAGAGCTCAATGGGCGCCATTGACACCCATAGAGGGCAATGGGTACTGTTGACACCCATTGGGCACCTTTGACACCCATAGGGTGCAATGGGTGCCATTGACACCCACAGAAGGCAATGGGCACTGTTGACACCCTAGAAGGCAATGGGCACCACTGACATCCAATGGGCACTGTTGACACCCAATGGGCACTTTGTCACCCGTAGGGCTCAATGGGCGCCGTTGACACCCAATGGGCGCAGTGGGCGCCGTTGACACCCAATGGGCGCAGTGGGCGCCGTTGACACCCACAGGGCACAATGGGCGCCGCTGACACCCATAGGGCGCAATGGGTGCCGTTGACACCAATAGAAGGCAATGGGCACCGTTGATACCCAATGGGCCCCGTTGACACCCATAGGGCGCAATGGGCACCGTTGACCCCCATAGAAGGCAATGGGCACTGTTGACACCCAATGGGCGCCATTGACACCCATAGGGCGCAATGGGTGCCGTTGACACCCATAGAGGGCAATTGGCACCGTTGACACCCATGGAATGCAATGGGCGACGTTGACATCCAATGGGTGCTGTTGACACCCAATGGGCGCAATGGGCACCATTGACACCCATAGAAGGCAATGGGTACTGTTGACACCCAATGGGCACCGTTGACACCA